GAGCTTTAAAAGCTATAGACAGAAATTTAAGAATGCTAATAAAATATTTCAGGCATACCAAAAAGCGTAACAAATACCCATGCACTACCACCAGCTTAAGCAGTAAAGCTTTACAAATACAACTTAAGCCCTGTAAACTCCTCCCAGATTAATTTCTCCTTCATATATCTCCCTAGAGGTAATCACTATCCTGAACTGGGTGTTTGTCTTTCCCACACGTTTATATATTTTTACTACATATGTATGAATCCATAAACAATATAGTAACACTGTTTTATGATGATTTTTAAATTTTTAATTTTATATATTTTGAATACATAATACCTGCACTACACACACAATTCAACAGTACAAATGCATATACAGTGCAACATTTTCCTGCTACCTAGTTTCCCCTCCCTGAGTAAGGAATGTAACACAGTTTTGTGTGAATATTTAAAGAGACACACTATACATACATAAGCAGTCACACTTAGATACATATTTGCCCCTATCTTTTATACATAAATGGCAGGCATACATACTATACACACTGTTCTACTTTTTCCTCTTAAAAATATACCTTGGAAATTGTTCTCTAAATTATATAAAGTTCCTCCCTTTTTTCCTTCATGTTTGCAAGGTACTTCACTATGTAGATAAGCCATAATTTAACTATTACACTACTAGAAAAGTTACTTCCAATCTTATGTATTTATAACAATATGGTGATGAGTAACACATTATTTGACACACATGAGTACATTTACAGACTAAATTCCTAGAAGTTGAATTGCTGGGTTAATTTTTATAAATACTGACATACCCTACAGAGGTGATACAATTTTTACTCCCACCAACAATGTATGAGTCATTTTGCAAATTTTGCAAAAATTTGTATAAATAACATTAAACTGTAAGTATTCTATAACTTGCTTTTGAGGCTTAACCTTACATTCCTGAGATTCATTCATGTTGATATTATGTAGCTCTAGTTCATATTTAGATTTTTTAAAATAATTCCTACTGTGATTCATTCACAAGGAGAACAGTCACATATTTACCTGAAATTACAGTTTTACATAGAAACACTCACTAGCTCAATACATAGATTACATGTACAAACAACTGATTTGCTGAAGACACATCCACCCCACTACAAAGACCAACTTGTCTAGGAAAACTAACAAAAACTGCCTTTTAATTTACTGTAATGACATGACTTTGTTCATCCATGCTTTTAAACAGGGGTGGGGGAAGCCTCACAAAGGCATGGAGACTAACATCTTGACAACCAAGCCATGTGCCGTTGCTCACTCCTATAATCCCAGCTACTCAAGAGGCTGAGGCAGGAGAATGGCTTGAGTCTAGAAGTTCAAGGATGCAGTGAGCTATGATCATACCACTGACTCAAACCTGGGTGACAGAGCAAGAACTCATCTCTTTAAAAAAAAAAAATCTTGACACCCAGAATGAAAAAGAAAAAAGATACCTTGGAAATAATAAAGATAATTCAAGCATAATCTCAAACTAATCCTAGTTTTCTGCTTAATCTTTCCCCTCAAAATGTTACCATTAAATAACTAAAGGATTTTTTTTCTAGCCTGTAAATAGGAAGCAATCACTATTAATTTATAGTCTTTGCCCCCTAAAAATTAAATTTCCTGTAAGCATGGACTATCATACTGGACATTTTTCTGAATACCAGTATCATAATCTTCCTTAATGTTTGCATCCAATGTCTACTCAATGTATATAACTAACTTTAAAAGCTCTATTCCAAATTGTCCCAATTAAAATACATGACTGGCCGGG